GCTACAGCATAAAGGTCACAGGCATTTACTAATTGATGGGAGTTTCATGGAAGTAATTCCTTGACAAAAATACCCTTGTGTATGATTCCTGTTTTGTTCAGAGTAAAAGGCGTCCGTTAATAGTCCCAAACAGCTTTCTTCTGCACAGGAAGCATGACTAACAATAGAACACACAGTAAGAATGCAGACTAGTTTGGTTCAAATGGAAACATGTCCTGCCACTGATATTAATATATTATTTTATTAATGGCCCCTCGAGTATAACACAATTTTGAAATGCAGCAATACTCAATTCAGTTTATATTAATCCAAATATGTTAGTGACAAATGTGTTCATAGATGCATCTGCATTGCAGTGTCAATTGGATTTCTTTCTTTCATCTTAGACTACATTATCACAGAACTAATTTGACTTTTCTCAACCATTTTGGCAATGTATTTTCATCAGATTTTAGTGTACATGAAGTCAGTTTCCCTCAAGTTCTCACATGGTCCACTAAACTTTGACTACAAAGTGCATATTATAATGCAATGGCATTATTCAGGTTTTCTGTCTTAAGTCTTAATTCAACCCTTTCACAATTTAAGGCCTTAAAAGATCTTAAATTTGTGCAGCAAGTCTTAAATTCATGCCATTAAATGTTGCATGCATTGCAAAAAAAAAAAAAAAAAACTTCCTCAGCATTTTTATTTAGTTTTCCAATAAAATTATTTAAGCACAGAAATTGCACATACAAAGGTCTAGTTTCCTGAAAAAAAACAAACTGTTCATACTTAAAACAAGAACAAATATCTGTCAATGTGGAATGAAACAATAAGTTTTCAAACCCCAGATGCAGTGCGAGATATTTGTTCTTGTTTAAGCATGAACTCAATTCATTTCAATCAATTTCTCATAAAACAAATAAAGTCAGTATAAGAATCTTTAGACATTTGCACTGGAAAACAAGACCAAAATCCTGATGAGGAACATTTTTTGCAGTGTCATGAGGTAAAATGATCATTGAACAAGTAATGGAGATTTATCGGAAGCTGCATTTTTAAACTTTAAAGCATTGCTAAGACATTTATGTTTAGAGACTATATTGACATATTGTGTTGCATTCTATTTATTCCTTAAATTTTCTTTACTTGGTCTTAAAAATCCTTAAAATGTTCTTTAAAAAATTTACTTGATTAATACACTTTAAAGTGCTACTTAAGTGTCCGATACTTAATATTATATTGTATGTATCATTTTTTCTCATACCCGAAACATTATCCTATAAACTTTAGATGCACTGTCTGTGACTGCTGCTGGATGCTGATGTGTGGCATTTTAAACTGAGGCTCTCTGGCCCAGCCCCTCCATCACGTCCTCCTATAGTCGCAGTGGAAGTGAGCTCGTGCGGTTAGTTCGCTCCAGATCCGCGCAGCTTCTCTCCAGTGACGACTGCTGGGTTCATGCTCGCGCACGGTCTGCGCTCTGAAGACATGCATAATGGAGCTAACGTTTTGTCTGCTCGAGGACTTTGCCCGTGTAATCTGACTGCTTTAGATTGGTTATTGTGAGGAGAGACTATGTGTTCTTCGGGATGGGTGCGAACAATGGCAAACAGTGTGGAAGTGAAGGTATGTGATCTCCAAGAACTACAACACTTCACTTTCTGTGAAATTAAATGCTGGTTTTTAGTAACTGGCATGGACTTTTGGTTGTAGAAGTAAAAAGTTGCCCTGGGTGAGTTGTAATAAATGATGCACATTTTGATGAAGTCTAAAATGAGGGGAATTGCGCAGCACTGTTGATTAAAAAAAATCGAATCGAATAGGCAAATGTAAAAAATCACAAAGAAATGGTACGTGTATTAAAGCACAGCTAAATTCATGAAGCTAAAACATAAGTGATTTTAGCTAACACCCATAAAACGTAGTATTAAAAAAAGAAAGAAAAAAGAAAGAATAGTCTCTGTCAGCACAGAAGTCATCTTGAGACGCACTTGTCTCTGTGAGGCTGTAAAACAGCACAAATCACTGAAGCATGCTACGAATAGAGAGCTTGCGTGCTTTCTTTCCTTGTGTTTTTGGGGGCGGGGTTACCTGGCAAATGTACCTGCGGCCAGCAAGATTAAACCACGCCCACAACCACTGGAACGAGACAGGCCACACCCACTACATAGAACCGCGACAGATGCAACACAACACGGCTTTTACCACGGTATTCCCTCCTTTGCCAATTGTCTTGGATTTAAATCAATTTAATTATGAACTGTTTAGTACTTTTACAGTCTTTGAAGTCAAAACATTGTTCTTCCAACAAGCCCCTTATTTTAAATTGCCATCTTTCTGCTAAGGATTTTAGGACAGTGTTATATTATATTTTTATTTCGTTTTCATGTTAGATCTTTCATCTTGCATTTTAGATAATTTTTTTTGTTTTAGTTTTTAGATTTTAGTACATCAAGTTAAGCTAAATGAGAATGAGAAATGTTTCCTTGGCAACTAGCTGAAATAAAATAAAAAGTTTTTATATTTTATTTCAGTTAATGTTTATTTTATTTGCAATAACATTTTTTTATGGGTTAGTTAACTATAACCCTGCACTGTAAAAAAAAAATCTGTGACATTTACAGTAAAATACCGCCAGAACTTCACCGTAAGAAATATGGTAGCAACATTTTAGGTTTTACAGACTTAACTTAAATTCACAATAAAATACCGTATTTCATTAACTGATGTAATGTTAATAAACCAACATGCACTGACAACCACCAAAACCTGATGGTGATGAGAAAATCACACGATGAACCAAAGCTCATCACAAACAGCATTTCTACGAGCTGAGGAGGGCAATATTTATATATAGAAGGTGCACAGTCTCATTCACACAAACACTAAACACCATCACGGTGACACACATGATACTGAAATAATGCAATAAACATTCATTTAACAACATTAGATGTAAGATTAAACTAATGTACACAACTGATAAGAGAAAACAAAGAAAAAACATGTTATTTCAACAAAAAAAACATCAAATATGAAGTGTCATGCGGGGCATTCTGGGAGTGTCAATTTACGGTTTTTCACTGTAAATAATACAATGACTTTTTCTTTTTCACTTCCAAAAACCGTATTTTTAACAGTATTTTACTGTAAAATTACATTAAATGTAATTACATTTATTCACCGAATATAGTATGGAAACTTACTGTTAACCAGTTAACAGGTTTTTACTGTAGCATTTTTACAGTCTTTTACTGTTAAAATCACAATAATTTTTTGATTTGCTGCTTTTGACCAGTGATCAGTCACATGACAAATACCCTGAGTGCCCATGAAGCACAGATGGCATTCAGGGGGTTTGTTTGGAGGGTGGCAGAACAAGCTTGACAACACTGGACTGTGACTGGAGCATTGATGGAGGGAAGTGACATTAGAAGTGATCCGGAGATGGAGGAAGAATCTAGCAGTAAGAATACAGGAGTAAATGATTGGAGCAAAATTGTCAATCGTAAGAGAAGGAAACTTGAAGAAACGAATTGGGAACTGATAGTGAAAAAGACAGGATGCTGGAAAGAACATTTTCAAGGACATCAGATTTTAAGATACTGATGAAGTTTGCAAATAGTAACGTGATCAATGCAGTAAAACTTACCAAGGCTTTAAAAAAAGCAGTAGGTGATATACAGAGTGACTCTAAGAAATGGAAATCTTCTAAAAATAAAAAAACAGCAGAAAGTGGTACAGTATACCGAGTAAGAGAGCTTGGTTAAGGGGAGTAATCTCTGGAATTCCAATTGATGTATCCACTGATACAGTAATATATCGGGGGCTAAGTTGATTGAAGCGAAAAGACTGAAATGTGTACGAAATAAAGAGAAAGTAGATAGTCTTTCTGTAATGCTTCAGTTTGACGAGGAAAGAATGCCAGAGAGAGTGTACACTGGATATGTCAGTTATGTGGTAAGAGCATCTGTACCACCTCCTGTCAGATGTTTTAAATGTCAAAAATACGGTCATGTCGCTGCAGTCTGTAAGTGGAAACCATGAATATGGGAAATGTGAGCAAGGCACACAACTAAAATGCTGGAGGCGAACACAGTGCTGGCTGTGCGTGTGAACGCTGTTAAAATTCAGAGCATTAGGATGCAAGAGGGAATGTCATATGCTGAGGCAGTTAAAAAGGTGAAACAGACGGAAGAAGGTCAAGGAAATGGATCAACAGTCCCAATCAGTTAAAAATAACAACAGAATAAATGACATTTTGAAAATTGGAAAAGTTGGTTTCATGACATTTTTAAACTGCGCTGCACAAACCGAAAGCAGAACATAATTAAAGCAGCTAAACAACATCTACAGTTTGAGGGAATTACTCTGGAACAAGTAAATGAAAAACCTAAGGCTCAAGTAGATTCACAGGCAACATGTGGAGGCTCACATGTTGATCAGAATCAGTTCCATGCTGGACAGAATTATGTAGCAAAGCAATTCAAGCTAGAAATACGGCTTTTAAGACGTACATATTTGATAACTTAATTCTATATAAAAAAGCGCAAGCCAATGTGAGAAGCTGCTAAGAAGAAGTACTGGAGAAGTTATGGTGATTCTGTAGGGGAGAAAGTAGATGTCAGTGAAGTATGGGGTATGATCAGAAAGATGGGTGGTTTTTAAAGAAACTTTGGTCTACCTGTTCTGAGTAATGTGGAAAGAATAGCTGTGACTAATGAAGAGAAGGCAATAAATAGATAAATAAATAGATGGCAATCTAAAAACATCCAAATATCATGATGGCGTAATGACCATCGTGATATGAAATTTACATGACATGAAGTAAAGAGCTGTTGGGGGAGTTAAGCAAACATCTCCAGGAAAGGATGAGAATTATCTGATTTGTTTTTGAATTTTATATTTTTTTAATAAAGTGTGGAGCACAGGGAGACTTCCGTCCTCATGGAAACACAGGGATATTATCCCTGTGCTAAGAACAAGCATAATGCTACAAATTATAGATCTATCGCGTTGAATTGAATCTACAATATAAGATTAAGAATGAAAGAGCTATTGTTGTTCAGCAGTATTTGGATACTCCTCGATGCTCCATATATTCACAGATGGGTCAAAGCATCCTACAGCAGCGCATACGGCTGCAGCTGTATTTATTCAGAGACTCCGAGTCAATATTCAGAAAAGGACAACCAGTTATGCATCCGTTTTTACAACAGAGCTGATAGTTGGCTATTCAATGGGTGGAGGACGTTAAGCCAGTAAGGGCAGTTATTTGTTCAGACTCTCGATCAGCTTTAAATAGTTTTATTAAGTGGGCAGTCAACAACAAGACAAGAATTAATATATGAGATATTTATAAATCTGCTCAGAATACAGAAAATGGGTATAATATAATGGCAATACAACAAATGACCGTTGAAGTAAAGCAGAAATAAAAGGAAGAATTAAAGAACACATAAATAAAAAGTGTCAAGAAATGTAGGACAGGGGGGAAAAAATCAGACAACTCCACAATATCCAAAAACAAGTTGGTAAAGGGAGTATGCCTCAATAGTATGAGAGAGAGTATACTGTAATTATTACACGACTCCTAATAGGACATTCTGGTTTAAATCATTCATTGTTCACAACAGGGAAACATCAGACTGGATTATGTATATCCTGTAGTGAAGCAGAGACTATTGAGCATGTACTCCTACATTGTGCAGTGTTTACCAAGGAAAGAGAAGAGTTGATTAAGAAATTGAAAGATATAGGTTTAATCAATTCCAATCTATCAATACACCATAAGTTGGCTTGTCAGCCGCCATAAAACAGCACAAGAAGAAGAAGAAGAAGAAGAAGAAGAAGAAGGGGGTTTGTTTCAAATAAGCAACTGCTACTGAGATGAATGGAAATGCTAACAGATAACTTTTTCCAGGTGTTGTACACTTCCTAACCATAAGGGGAAATAAGGGGAATATTTGGGAAACTTGTTTGGTAACAGTAACCATTTGTGTAACTCATATGGCACAGAGTAGATGTTTGCGTGCAGTTCTGATCCCAGAAGCAACCGCTGATATTTACAAACAGTCCTGAGCTCCCGATGGTGTCGTGCAGATGTGTGTACTTTATGCAGTTTTGAGTAAAACTCAACACTCGTGGGTGTGTCAAACTGCTCACAGTCAGCTCTCTCTGGCCTTGTTCACATCTGCCATTAACATCTGCTCTGGGTGATTTGATCATAAGTGTTCAGGTTAAACAGATCATCGTGTACCTGATAGTGATGTGCCTCAAAGGCACCTCCTGTGACCACCTGTGTAGTCTGATTTTGTGACTCACAACTACTTTAACCTTAACATAAACATGCCAATTCAAGCTGAATATAAATGTAATCAACCTCTTGTTGAGATCAGCAGCTTTACTGTCTCTCTCTGAGTTGAATAGACCATTTAATGGATCTATAGTGATTCACTTTGCAAGTGCATGTGTGTTCATCCAACATGTTGGTATTTTGTTTTAAAGAGTGTGAAGCAATTACAGAAATATGAGCGACCACCATGATCTAAGCAGGTGCAAAGTATTTTTGGAAAACGGATAATATAACTGGCTACATTTTTACTTGAAATGAACTTCACGCTCATTGAGCTGTTTAAATGCAATTGTACTGAATATCGTGTTTAGTGCAACAGCACAAATCAAGGCAAATGTGGGAATGTGTGCTTAGGACAGTCCTGCTCTTTTAGTCTCTATCTGGAATACTTGGGAGTATTTGAAATTTCCATCATGGAGGTAAAGAGCTCTAATAAGACTTATGGATTAAGGTCATTGGATCAAAAGCAGGACTGGCCACTCAGGCCATGAGTGATGGACCGTTTGTGAACATTCGAAGGAAATCTCCTTTGTCATTTCTCCCTTTACGTGATGGGAAGTGGCTGTGCTTGGGTTGGCAAACGACTGACAGCTTAATGATTCTAATTTATTCTCACAGTCGAGCAGAGCTCTTTTCTTCCTAGTTTAGTAGGAGAAAGTGGAGACTTTTGGATTTTCCAGACGTCATTTTTGCAGGTCAGAGTTCAGTCAAAGTTCAGCGCCCGTCTAAGAGCAAAGAAGGATCTCAAATCAATGATCTGGCACTCTTAAAGGACGTTCACACTGACTATACTGAGTGATTAAACTGCTGTACCACTGGTTGCTAGTTGCAGTTTCAGCTGCATCCCACTGTATCAGGTGATGGATCTCGTAAACTTTGACGTCTTCTTTCTCGCCCATTGAAAAAAATATCTCAAATAGTCAAGAATTTCCATATAAACAGCTTCATTCCATAACGTATAACAATATATCAAATAATATTACATGGTTTGGCTCTATATTGTTTTGCAATTCTATTAAATTTGATCATATATATATATATATATATATATATATATATATATGTGTGTGTGTGTGTGTGTATAATATTTGCAATTTATTTAAAGGTTACTTTAAATCAGTTACATTGCTTAATATTCATATGAAAATGTTTAATTGAAAAAAACAAATAATTTTGTAATTTATTATTTATTTATTTTAAATAGGTCAGTGGTGTGAATTTTCAGATTGTTTTGAAACCATCTTAGAAAATGTATTTTATGTGAGAATTTGTCGCTGGCATTACTGTCACAAGTCACAAATTCATGGTTGGTAATAATGTCAAAAAAGTAAATAAAAATAATAATTATAATAATAATTATAAAACTTACCATCAGCTTTTATTGGAGGAAAAAAATTGCTTAAAGGTATCATTCAGCCAAAAATGGACATTCTGTCATCATTTGCTCACCCTCAAGTTGTTCCAAACCTCTATGAGTTTCTTTCTTCTGTTGAACACAAAAGAAGATATTTTGAAGAATGTTGGTAATCAAAAAGTTGATGGTAGCCATTGACTTCCATAATATGAAAAAAAAAAAAATACTATGGAAGTCAATGGGTACTGTCAGCTGTTTGTTTATGAACACTCTTCAGAATAACTTCTTTTGTGTTCAACAGGTTTATTTTTGGATGAACAATCCCTTTAATTCAACACTTTTTGTAAGTCCTAAAATCAATATTTAAAGGATGACCTATCTCTGTGTTTACCCTTGTGCTGAACTGTAAAGCTGTCATTGTGAATGCCCATTTTCAAGAAAGTGTGTGTATGCCACAATAAACAGGTGAGAGCTGACCTCTTCATTTTCCTGTATATTGTCACCCTCATTTCATCCTTTATACATTTCAGGCCGCATTTGTTTGCCATACATCATTTTTCAGTACTGACTTGTGAAAATCGCCTGTAAAACAGTACCAAAGCAAATATCTGTGGTTTTAGCTCTTGATTCTGAGTACGAACGCTGCTGCGTCTCTTTTAGCAACAAAGTAATACAGTTTCATCATCCGTTTTGATTAAGCTGAAGACTTTATGCTTTGTGAAAGCTTTGCCTAGCAACATCATAATAACATTGTCCGTATCTGTTCGTAATTCAAGGCGTGCAAAGCACATGGGGTCCACTTGACGGATGAGTCGCATTCTGCCGACTACAATAGGAACTGAAGCAGATGTTGTGGCTCACTGATGTCACTGCAGCACGTAACACTGTATTCAGGTTATTCGGCTGTTTTTCCGTTATGACCGAGGTGATAAGAGTTCATTGAGTCATTCAATGCATCAGCACTAATCTGACAGCTTGTTTGAAAGACCTTCACACAACAGCTTTCCAGGGTGGACATATATTGGCAACATTTCGGGCGTGTAAAGGGGCGTTCACACATTGCAGCGACTAACACTACAGCAACTCCGTGACCTCTTTATATGTGTGAAAAGAGCGTTAGTGAGTGTTTCTGTGTGTTTTTCTCCTGTATGGATGTGTGTTAAGAGCGAGAAGAGGAACTTGTTTACAGAGAGAACGGTGCTTGTGGGATGAAGCTGTGCTCTGCTCACATGGAGCCTCTTGTGGTTCAAGTTTATGACCTGACAGAGGATGAAGTGCCATAAACCAACCCTGCCAAATTAACACACATGCACACACTCACATCTTCTTCTACAGAAAGTAAGACCTTTTCCATGGACCTCAACTTCATAATGGTTTGTTTTTTTCTTGTCAAATAAAAATGAGTCTGAAATTCATCACATTATGCAATTAAAATGGGTTTTGCCAGAAAGGCCAAGCTGGGGTGCACTTTCCATGAAAAACTCACTGCGTAACTACCATAATACAATTCATTACTGGAGAAGTTAGCTAGCTAGTCATGACTGTTTCTAGAAACCATAGCAAGTGGGTCCCACATCCATTGTTTGAAACACTTTGGTCAGGAGCTAATGACATCACGCTCGTGGTGGACTAATAACTTCTGCTAATTAATCCGTTTGAGACTGAATTAATGTCAGAATAACAAACTGGAGGTACTAGAGCTCATTTTGAAAATGTGCACTCTAAAATTTGACACGACAGGGGGGTTAAGATTTGCTGGTGAGTAGCATGGCTATGGTGGTCGACCAGCTAGACCAACACCAATCAAGCACTCGCATCAACCAACATGGAAATTCATGCAATAAAAAAAAAGTCAGGCGCTTAACACTGGCTTGTCCCTGCGAGTGGGGAACCATAATCTAAAGGGTGGTGGTAGTGTTGTTGATTTATGTCTGGATCTCCATTCCAGGCTGTGAATGACCGCACTTTTATTACAACACCAATCCAACTTTAAAATCCACAAATGTGAACTAAAGTGCAAACTCTTAAAAAAAAACATCAACCAAATACAAGTAACAAGCCGTCACGAATGGTCTCTGCTCGTTCTCTTGCACAGTGGCCAAATATGTCCTAATGTATGATAGATAAATCTGTCTTGGAGGATCATAGCGAAACTGCAAACTCTGCCAGTGTTGGAGATACTAAAGTAATTTCTTCCATCTATTGTTCCAGTCACGGATATTGTCTTGGCAGGAAGATGTTTTGCTCAGCTTCAGTGCATTCCTGATGAGTACTGAGTAATGAGTTCTTCTTGAAATCTTTAATCATGAAAACCTCAGACCTCGCTCTGGATTAGGAACAAGAGGAGGTTCCTTGCTTTCAGAAATGGTTCAGCAAGTGAATGAGTGATTGGGCCAAAATGTCCGATCGTGCTTTTATTGCATCTGTTATAATATTGACTTACAGTGGGAACCGTTGCACCCCACCCTTCTGTGAAACTGCACACCAGGGCTCCCAGAGCTGGCCGATGGAGCCGACTGTATGGATTGTGAATGCATGCAGTCAAGTATGATCTCAAAAACGAGCTGTTTTCACAAAACGTTATTTTCTGTTTCGCTTCTGTCCCAGGCAAGGGTAGCTCCAGTATCTCCTCCGATGTGAGCTCCAGCACTGATCATACGCCCACCAAAGCTCCCAAGAATGTGGCTACCAGTGAAGGTAAACCATCTGGTCTTCATTATGAGCCAAAATGCCTGCTAAGTCCCATTCGCTCTTCCTTTCTGCCCTCTCTCTCTCTCTCTCTCTCTCTCTCTGTCTTTATGAAATGCTTATCATTTTGTAGCAAACTTATGTGCTCGTAGGATATCCTGGAAATTGAAAACAAACTTGGCATTCAAAACTAACTTGTGGGCCGTTTGTCTTGCAAGCGAGCAGATTGGAAAAATCCCCAGGGCAGGTTAATATCTGGATATTAGCTGCAGGATTGCATAGTGTGTGTGGCTGTTTTTCTTAGAGGTTCTCTTGAAATTAGGAAAACATCATCGAGATGTTTTTACGTTACAGTGGTGTGGATTGCACCCTTTGCATCCCCGTGCTGTACTGTAAAAATAAGACTAATAAAAAAGACAGTAAATCTGTTAATCCCTTTGTGAGTTTGACTTGGTTTATGCATCATAAATTCTCATGTACCACAGGACCTCCCCAGCAGATATATTCCACATATAAGATCACTCTAGGGTTGTTTTGTAACCTGATAGGATTAGCGATTACGACGTTCCTTTCCATTACGGCTAACCATTTGACCCGTGTTGTTATATTTAGCAGTGCATGTTTAAACAACTTCATTCGTTTATTGGTTCCATAGCCTTTTTAGTTTCATTACTGTAAATCATGCCTGCAAAAAGCTTGTAAATATTTTTACTGTGTATTTGGCGTGGGATCTCTATCTGCTGGGTGCTGAGAACTGAGCTCAACCATCACAACGTCGCCAACCGCATCCGTATGTTGACGAAACCTTTATGCAGTGTATTTGTTTTTGTCTGGACTAAATATTGCTTTACTCTACACACAGGCGCTTCTTACTGCTCAAGCTTGATTTCACATGTCACTGCATTGCAAAATGTGTTTTAGACTAACTGATAATGCAATGCAAATACACAAGGGTCGCTATAGTGTATATTAGCATAAACCGTCTTTGTCTACGGTCTGTTTTTACTTGCATGTCTACTACTGTTATAGTAAGCAAGTTACTAAAAGTTACTGTCAACATGTTTATAGCTAGTACAATTAGTTAAATTGTTTATCTTTTTATAGCTAATTAAGTTAGTTGAACTGTCAACAAGTTTATAGTTAAAGTTAATGAAACTCAACATTTTTATAGCTAGTTAAGTTAAACTGTTGACATGTTTATAGCTAGTTAGCTCAACTGTCAACAAGATTATATAGCTAGTAATAATTTATGAAGTGGTTTACTTGTTTATAGCTAAAGTTGATTAAACAGTCAGCATTTTTATAGCTAGTTAAGTTAGTTAAACTGCTAACATGTTTATAGCTAAAGTTCAACTATCAACAAGTTTATGGCTAGTTAAAGTTAGTTAAACTGTCAACATGTTTATAGCTAGGGAAATTTGTTAACTTTCAACATTTTTTATAGCTAGTTAAGTTAGTTAAACTGTTGACATGTTTATAGGTAGTTAAAGATAGTTCAACTGTCAACAAGGTTAGTGCTAGTTAAAGTTAGTTAAACTTTTGACATGTTTATAGATAATTAAAATTAATCAAATGTCAGTTTATTAGGATTAAAATGCAGCTGCCAACAAATTTATGGTTAGTGAAAATTAGTTATACTGCCTTGATGTCTATAGTCTAATGTTAGTTAAACTATTTTTACAGCTAGCTACAGTTAAACTGTCAACACGTTTACTAACTCTTGGAATGTTTATAGGTAGTTAAAGTTAGTCAAACTGTCTTCTTGTTTATAGCTAATGTTAATTAAACTGTCAGCATTTTTATAACTCATTTGTTATGTTTTCAGCTAGTGAAATTATTTAAACCTTCATCATGTTTATATAGTTAGTTGAAATTATTCAAATGTCAATTTATAAAGATTAAAGTTCAACTGTCAGCAAATTGATAAAGTTAGTTATTCTGCCTTCATGTTTATAGCTAGTTACACTGTCGACATGTTTATAACTGGTTGACATATCGACAGTAGTTAAATTCTTGGCATGTTTGTAGGTAGTTAAAGTTAGTTAAACGGTTGGCATGTTAATAGCAAGTTAAAGGGGCCATATGATGCGATTTACAAGCTCTTGGTGCATAAAGAAGATCCGTAAAGTTGCGAAGACTAAAGTCTTAAATCCAAAGAGCTATTCTTTATAAAAGTTAAGAGTCAACCACGCCTACCTAAAACGGCTCGTTCTAACACGCCCCCACATGTCTACGTCAATTTCCGTCACATGCTTGAGGTATTCGGCCAATCACAACGCACTGGATAGCTGGCCAATCACAGCACACCTTGCTTTTCAGACCGATGAGCTTTGTAAAAATCAAGGCGGGGCATAGAGGAGAAACAATAATGTACAGTATGTGGAAAATAATGTGTTTTTTGAACCTTAAACCGCATAAACACATTTTATTACACCAAATACACAAAATAATGTTCTTTTTAGCAACATCATATGACCTCTTTAAGATATTAAATAGCTCAAACATTTGAAAGCAAAGTAGGTTAGAGTATGTTTTTGCAATACATCATCAAGATGTTTAAACTTAAGAATTCACATGAATCCATTCTTTTTAACTTATCTTTATACTGCGTTGAGATGCATATTTAAATCTGACATTTCGTTTTAGAGTCAGTATGTGGTTGGGCACCACCACAGCTCCCTGGAAAGCTGTTTTCCAGGTTGAATCTGTTCTTTATACACTGTTATACCCACCCTACTCAGGCTTCACACCAGGGAGTGTGTCCAACTCCATATTGTCCCCAAAATGGGGCATCTGGTGTGTGTGTGAAAAAGAGTGAGCCAGGTGCTAATAGAGTGTGACCCGTGATTATGGTCGTAGTCATAGTATTTCATAGTTTCTTGGCGCAGACAGGTGGAACAATGAATATCAACAAACATTTTGCTAAGCAATGCCCGGCATTAATGAGTGCGACACAGTGTGGTGGACAGGGACATGAAAATGAGGTTAAAGTCAATATTAAGAGCTATGATTAGATGTTTAAGCTGTGTGAAAAACTTGGAAACTATTGCCCACTAAACTTAACAAAGGAATAATGTGATCATAAAAAGTTGAAATGTTAAGCACACAGCACTGGCCTTTGTACATGATAGGGAGCCAGGAAGGAAACTAAGCTAGTTGCTAAGAATCTAGCCGCTGTTTAAAGTCAACATGAAAGAGCATTCGCAACGCATTTTAGTTTTTATAATGTGAAGTTTTTACAAGTGAAACAGAATATTCAAAGGGATAAAAAAGGGTGGGACTTTGATTGGATTGTAAAAGGAAGGGTGTTACTGAGTGGAATAGTGCTAGACAATTATATTAACATGACCTTCGACAAGTTACGTCACTTGAATAGGAAAGTCATTTTAGAGTGTACAGTTGTGGTCAAAATGTCACAGTTGCAGTATCTGCAAAATGTTAATTATTTAACCAAAATAAGAGGGATCATACAAAATGCATGTTATTTTTTATTTAGTACAGACCTGAATAAGATATTTCACATAAAAGATGTTCACATATAGTCCACAAGAGAAAATAACAGTTGAATTTATAAAAATGACCCCATTCAAAAGTTTACAAATGCTTGATTCTTAATACTGTATACCTGGATGATCCACAGCTGTGTTTTTAGTTTTTTTTGTTTGTTTGTTTTTTTAGTTGTTCATGAGTCCATTGTTTGTCCTGAACAGTTCAACTGCCCGCTGTTCTTCAGAAAAATCCTTCAGCTCCCACTAATTCTTTGGTTTTCCAGTGTCTTTTGTGTATTTGAACCCTTTCCAACAATGACTGTATGATTTTGAGATTCATCTTTTCACACTGAGGAGAACTGAGGGACTCATACGCAACTATTACAGAAGGTTCAAACGCTCACTGATGCTGCAGAAGGAAACACCATGCATTAAGAGCCTTTTGAATTTGAAGATCGGGGTAAATGTAACTTATTTTGTCTTCTGGGAAACATGTAAGTATCTTCTGGAGCTTCTGAAGGGCAAAAAAAATAAAAAAGAAAGAAAAATGTGCACATCTTCATTCTGTTCAAAAGTTTACACCCCTGGCCCTTAATGCATTGTTTTTCTTTCAAATCTTTCTGGACATTAATTTAATTAAATAATTAATTTACTGTTCTTTCTTTTTTTTTTATCTCTGTTTTGTCACAGATGAGGGTCAGTCAGAATGATTTGTTTTTATGAACAATATTCAGATGTGCGTATATGCACAAGTAAGTAATTTCTGGAGCTTCTGAAGGGCAAAAAAAAAAAAGAAAAAAAAGAAAAATGTGCACATCTTCATTCTGTTCAAAAGTTTACACCCCTGGCCCTTAATGCATTGTTTTTCTTTCAAATCTTTCTGGACATTAATTTAATTAAATAATTAATTTACTGTTCTTTCTTTTTTTTTTATCTCTGTTTTGTCACAGATGAGGGTCAGTCAGAATGATTTGTTTTTATGAACAATATTCAGATGTGCGTATATGCACAAACACACACACACAACGTAAAGACCTTGAATCGCTCTATATTTATGCCTTAAGGGCAGGATGAAATCCTCTTGTGTGGGATGACGCTTCCCACAGGATAACAAACACATGTGAGCGTGTCTGAAATGTCAGGATATTTCATACTGTCAGTCAGGAGACTGTTCGGCCACAGCGATGTGTGCTTTCTCCAAGTATGGATATGCCACAAACACAAATAATGCCTGGACGAATGACAAAGCCTTGGCATTGTGAACGTCCAACTCTTGCACTATGGGAAATCACATCTGTGTATGTTGTGGCGGCAATTCACCATATTTTTGGGTGTGGTAATTTTAGTAAAAGAACTTGCTTTTCTGGGTTCTACTACAAACATAATAAATATACATCCTATGATTGCATTATATTTAAACATGATCCCATGTTAGTACAGGGTCTAAAATCAACACTCGCACACACAAAAATGTCAAACATGAAAAAATGTGAATTAAAATAAAATGGAGTATGTGGCCAT